GGGGAGCGGACAGGAGAGAGCAGAGAGCTTCTCTGAGGCACCATCGTGGATCTCTAGCCATTTCTCTGCACTCCTCAGTCCCAACCGCGCCCTCGCCCACACTCCAGCTGACCCCTGGTCACCTTCTCACTCAGCAGCCTGGCACCCACTCTCAGCACCTCCAGACTCTCGACCTCCTCCCCGTTTCCCAAAGGGAGGCCTGGAACGGCACACCCTCTGGCCTCCTCTTTCAATCACACCTCCCAGCCCTGTCAAAATCCGAAGCCCAAAGAGCCAGAACACCAACATACTTAGGATCACGAGCCAGGATGTCTAGGTTCCAGTCTTAGCGCTAAGAGGCTGGGCAACACGCTGACCTTTCTGTGCCTCCATCTCCTCATGTCACATACACAGAAGTACGAGGACCAGTAAGAGTTCACGTCTGTGTTGTTATTCTTCTCTTCCAACTACAGCTTTAATTTTCCTAGGAGCCCTGGTAGCGTGGTGGTTATGCGTTGGAATCAGCAGTTTGAAACCACCAGACGCGCCAAGGGTGCGAGACAGGGCTTCCTACTCCTGTGAAGACGCACGTCTCAGAAACTCACAGGCAGTTCCACCCTGTCCCTTAGGGTTGCGCCGATTCGGCGTCAACTCCGGGCAGTGAGTTGTTTCGCTGTTTTAATTTTTACTCTTCAGCTTTACCCCGTCTCTCTTAATAAGGCATCTATCAAGAGCCCAGGCGTTTAAATTCCGTTTTTGTCTCTTCCTCACTCTCCAACATCTAACCTAGCGGTGCTGCTACTCCTCAGCAGGGTCTCCATGTTCAGCCGCTGACTGAACCCCAACGCACCAACTTCAGAGGCCTGTAACACCCGAGCAGGCGCGTACAGCTGTCCAGACATCAGCACAGGTGCTGGGACATGATACCAAATGCCCTTTCCTCTCACCTGTGTGCCAGGCGAGCTTCCTCCTGCCAGGCTTCCTGGCTTCAGTCGGGCACACCTGAGCTAAGCCCTCCGCAGAGAAGATGACACACAGTGCACGTGGTGCTGGGGCTGTCTTTAGTGTCTCCTGGCTTTCTGTACTGACCACAGGTCTCGGCAAGACCATAGTCTACAGGGCTCAAGAACTTAGCCTCCTATCACTTTATACTCAATATGGAGGCTCTTCAGCGTTGGCCACACACTGGACTGAGGGGCTGCAACTGTTCTCTAAGGACCCAGGAGTAACAGTTTAAGGTCAACAGGCCCCACGGCCACAGCTACTTTGCCACAGTAGCCAAAGCAGCGTGAGCAGTACCTAAGTGGATGGTGTAGCTGTGTTCCAGTAAAACTTCATTTATATAAAACAGGTGTCAGGAGGGACCAGGTGGCTTGTGGCCCCTGCTGAAGACTTTCAGAATATGCTGCTTCACAGGCTAACCCTTCAGCAAACGTGAAGCAGGGAAATGCATAACGCTCCTGTAACAACAGGCAGATTTCCCAAAACACATCTTGAGTTAAGCCCTCAGATCCTGAAATCAAGTCCTAGAACTCTTACCTATACTGACTGGGCTCTAAGCACCGGCGTGAGCATTTACCAGCCCACCACACACCCCGAACAAGCAACTTGATGGCCCTGACTCACAGCTCCCTGTAAGGCAGGAACGACACAAATGCCCACGCCCTCAAGTTGCTGAACCAATCACAAGCGAGGTCTGAGGGGTCTGGCACTGTAGCTGGCACTGCCCACAGGACGGCAGTACCTGTTATCCGTCAGAAGGTCCTCCGTTACTTTCTTCCCTGTGAACTTGTGCCTGTTCCCCATCTTGAAGCTGAGTGTCTTCCGGAGACGTCGCTGTCTGCGGGAACAGTAGCCCCTGTCAGAGCACAAGCACAAGGCATCATTCCATCAGGCGGGTCGTTTTCAATGGCAAACTCTGAAACA